TGATTTCTTTTCTTAAAACCTGTCAACAATGGTTGTGATGTTCATCTACAAATGTCAAACTAAATTGCACTTTTGAAATTGAAGGCACTTTTTGAATTCCACATCTTTTTGGGGAGAAGTGGAGTGTGTAGGCTGACAACTTTTAAACTATATGACACATATTTAAGAATAACTAATAAACCTAAAATTGACCTGATGGTCAAAAAAGTTTGACAATCTGCAGTTTAGAGACAACAGTGTGGTAACAACGCAACATCATATTGTTCTTTAGAAACTAACATCTGTTAAAAGCAAAACTTAAACTATTGTGATCATAGATTTTATAAAATACCCCTCAATTTGCAAAAAAGTATGAATGAATGAATGAATGAATGAATGAATGAATGAATGAATGAATGAATGAATGAATGAATGAATGAATGAATGAATGCCCTTTATTGTCATTATACAGCATACAACGAGATTGGAGAGCTTCTCCTATTTTCGGTGCAAGTAAAAAAAAAAAAAAAGAAAGAAAAAAGAAAGTGCAAAATTGCTCAGTTAAATATAAAAAGAAAAATGATAAATATACAGAAAGAAATAAAAGATTTAAGAAATACTGCACGAGATGATGGATATATACATACAGATTATGAATATTTACATACGTATAATGTATATTTATATACTGCACATAGTGGAGGAGTCTTATTGAGGTAGAGTGGATATTTTACATGTGAGAGTTCATGATGGTGATGGCTCTCAGAAAGAAACTGTTTCTCAGTCTGTTGGTCTTTGCTATAAGGTGAGTAAATGGTCAGCACTTACAGAGCACCATTTTATCCTCACAAAGGTTCTACAATGTGTTTCTCTTTACTCTCACACACACTCACACACCTATGACAGCAGCGCTCCTGTGCAACTTGCAGCCACCTCAGCTAAGGAAACGTGTTGTGCTGTGTAATGTTTCTACGCAGCACCTTTGGTTTGAAAACAAATCCAGAACTTTGTTGCATGCTGTACCCTGGCACAGCACCCTAGTCCTTTCTGTCTCCATACCACCAATGGATAAATAAGGCAAAATGTATGCAAAATGTTCCATAAAAAAGAGAAAACATGATATGTACAAGTCACCGTCAGGCCATATAAAAACCAGTTAAACCCATTGGCTGACCCTCAGACACAAAAAACACAAATCTATAATGCTGTGAGGCTTCAGCAATTGCAAACCCTGAAACAGAGTATGGCCAACTGATTAAAACCCAGTTTCCCTGATAATACCATTGAACTGATCCCTAAAACATTATTGTTGAAGCATTTTAGAAATTGTAAGTGCTGTGAAATGTGTTTTTTTCTGTTATTTCCTGTTTTCTGTACACATGAAATTCACTGGGGGTCCTTAAGTGAACTTATCAGCCTGTGGCGTTGTGTTGGTTTGTACAGTCCAGTGAATCCAGGCCAGGGTTTAGTTATTGGCTCATTAGTGTCTTCAGCAGCTTTAGTGGCTCCTTTGTAGTGGGAAGCTTAGCATTCAAACACCCATCAGCCAGTTAGAGACTTGCCTCCCCCCTTTATTCACTCTATGCCCCCCTCCCTCGACACCAGCTGCACCTGACACCCCATGTCATACCCCACGGATTATCAGAATATTTTGTATTGTCCATATGAGCACACTTCTGTTAACAATGTCTGAACATAAACAGTTCAGTTACGGGAAAACAACACTCGGTTTAAAAGCTGCTAGTGGGTATGTTGCTTCAGACACACACTTGTGTGTGCGTTAATACTGCAGATAAAGGCTTATTATTAAATTCACAGCAACATTTACAATAAGCAAGATTTACAATTTCCAGTTTTAATGTAGTTCTACAGGTGTCCAAAACACATTTATAGTTAAGATCAGA